TATAAAACTATAATATAAAATACCTATAAAATACCTATAAAATATATAAATATATGCTTGTATATATACACACAGTGAGTACCTGTAGAGCTGTTGCACAAACAGTTGTTGCTTGTAATGTTACCTGGAAATGCCAAGTAAATAGTAGCTGCTAAAATAAACAAAACTTTTGGAAACCTGTAGTTAGAGCTTTCACTCAGTGGACAGATGTCTTGTTGACAGAGCAGCAGTGTTCTTGAACTGTGCTGGGTCTCTGTTAGGTGGCATTGCTTGTCTGGTAATAGCTGCCTACAAAAGCGCTGTAACTGACCTGTGTCTCCCCTTGAACTGCCACGGATGATTGGTTTTAAAATTTCTGAAAAACATTGCAGGCTATTTCAGGTCAAGTTGGATGGAAAAAGTCTGTCGTTCTTAACTGAAACATACTGTCTGTTCTCCCCTTGCAAAAAGATGCAACCTGATTAAGTTACAACTTACTGAAATACTCTAGGCTGTGCTGTTTCAGAAATTTTGGGGTATTGATTCCAATTATTTTTTTTTAAATCTAAATATGCCTTAGTCCCTATATTATTGAAGTGATGGGATAGGTTGGTTTTGCCAGTGTTTGCAGAGCCAGATGGCTTTGCTACATAGTGAAATAGTTTTATTTGGTGGTTGCTGGAGTTTCTTTTTTCTTTTTTTTTTCTCCCCCATAAGAAGAGTGATGTAAAACATGGAAGGATAGAGACCTCAAAACTTGCCTGATAGCTGAAACATTTTACAGTTCTAGAAGTTCTGCTTGTTTTTCCAAATGGTATCGAAGCTGCTCATCTTCTGTGCCTACTGCAGGATATTTAGTTACACTCACTTTTCTGTGGAGTTGTCATGCAAAATTTAAGTGTGGTGATGTGGTGTTTTGCTGTGATGGTGGTATTGGCGGTTAAATAAAAATAGTGTAATGATGATAATAGTAGGAATCACCTGGCTTTCTCCTTACAAAGGAAAAGGGAATTTAACCTGAGGGAATGAATTAAGTGGACCTTTTGAATAACGGAAGGAACATAATATGCCCTTCTGGTTACATAAGCTATGTTTTATCTTGATACTGTTCAAATGCTCAAAGCGTATGAGGAAATTTGAATATCAGCTCAGGAGCTGTTAATATCTGTGGGATGTTGAATGGATGGGGAGCTGCATCGTCCTAAATTCTACTACGTATTCCATTCTCTAACTTCTGTCCATTAGTTAATGCTTGTTTATATTCAAAAGTTTTGTCTGTAGGATGCTTTTGACTGTGTGAATACAGAATAGAGTAATTCATTGAATACTTGACATGAAACAATGTAAATCCTCTTATCAGCAGTAGTACAGAGCAGGTCTTTGATGCAGTGGAGCAAAGATTGACATGTCCCCGTGTCAATGAGGCTGTGTCCTTTTGTGCTGTCCTGCTTGCATTGTTCTGGGCCTTGATGTAGCACTGCATTTGATAGCTGTGTCTGTGCTTATCAGAAAAAAACATTGTTCTCAATGTAATTTCTTATTAAGCAAATGATCTTGTTTAAATTAGAGGTGGTTAACTGAAAGCTTGGGCTGCTCCTTGATGAACAGATCATGACAAACACAAAGTATGCTGTCATATCATTGACAGAGTAAGAAGTTCAAAAAGATTTTACATGCCAAAAATTATTCTTTCCTTGTTAGAAGTAACATTTGATTCTCTATCATATTATTGAAGAAGAACACAATAGAGAGTACTCAAGTCTGCTCATGTTTTGCAGGAGCTGCTCACGTGCTGTGAAGAAGGTAAAGGTGAGATTAAGGATGGCCTGGAGGTGATGCTTAGTGTGCCAAAGCGAGCCAATGATGCCATGCACCTCAGCATGCTGGAAGGTAGGATTCAAACTGGCTTTCCAATTCAGTCGTATGCTGTAGATTAACTTTGCTAATAACTTTTTTATATTACTATACATTGAGAAAATCTAAAGAATGTGAACGTTTTCTTATCTCTGCCTCTGTATTTTATATACCTTTTATTTGGAGATACATAAAAACGCAAACTTCATTTAGGAAAATGAATTGTGACAAACAACTGGTACAGTTTTGCCAATTTTTTAAATATTCTTTCATCCTGATCTATAGCTCTGCAGATTTGAAAAATATGTAGGCTAACAAAGTTTTCCACTACTCACCTAAAATGTATTAGGTGAATGGTCAGACACAATAGCTTCAGCTACATTTTCCAACCAGTATCCTTGGCTTCTTTACAGGAGGAGCATAAGTGTATTAGAGGTGATTTTGCTGATTTATGTATCAAGTAATTGTCTCCAAGAAATTTGTCGTTTTCACATCTGTTTGCTGCCTGTTCCATAACAGACTTCTGGTTGAAATTAAATGTATCTTCTGGCAGTAAAATGTCAGCATTAAGCCAATTTAGCCTGAGCCTTAGCCAGAACAGCATAATCATGTTCATGGCACACAGTGGAGGTTGGATGTAATTGCTTCTATATGCTTAGAACAACTTTCTGCCAAAATCTGTTTTGTAATTGGCACGTTATCATGTACAATGGTGCCATCATACATTTAGTAATAAAACTGTTTTTCTTTGGATTTTTTTTTTTTTGAGATAAAAGCAGAGCTGCCTTACCTTGCAGTTACTGAATAAAGACTTATAGGTACTTTCAGTCAATATTCCTTTTCCTCCTCTCTGCCTTCCAGTAGTAAAATGGAGCTTGTCATGGAACTTCCAGTATAATGCAAGTTACTATAAAACTCATCTTGGTTTGACATGTGATCCTTGATCATGTGATTGCTCAAAATCACCTTTCTTCTCTGATTTTAAACAATAGGAATATTGGTCAGTTTGCAGGATCAGTTCCAAATGCTTTGTTCAGGAGATGGCGTTAGTATAAATGCTGACCAGCATTGATAATAATCTTTTAACACTGGAAATGTGACTCTGGAGCATATCCTAATCTTTTATATAAGTTGGCATCTCATGTTAGACTAATATAGTGTGTTCAGCACATTTCCTCTTTATGTCTCTGGAGGATTTTGAATGAACAAATTGCCTCTGTTTAGAACAGTGAAAACTGTTGTTTTCTTGAGAAGGATGGTGCTCTCCTGTTCAGAGAATATTGTCAAGTAAAATCTATTTAAAATGCAGTTTAATACCACTCAGAAAAGTATGGTAGACTAATTTCTGTTATCCTCCAACTCTGAAGCTGTGTATTAAACTGGGAGAACACTGTACCACTACAATGGAAGTTGCTGATATGCTCAATCTTGATCTTTATGTTATGTCTTGAGATAAGTAATCCAGTTGCTATTTCTGTATTGTGGATCAGTGTTGGAGTGACTCAATGGCAGGCTCATCACACAACAACAGCTCCAAGCTGCCATCTTTTTTCATCCCCTATTGGAACATGTTTGCACACTCATTGCATACGTGGTAGGGAAGCTGTACCACCAGAAAAGGTGGCATTTGGGAGCTTGCCAACATCAGAACAACTTGATGTGCTCTCTGTGTCCTTGCAAGTTGCTCACTTTCTACAGAAGCAGAAAGCTTATTAGAGAAATCATTTTCATCACAGAAGAGGTTACCAGAAGCTGACATAGAGAGATCTGTCATTTGTTGGTGAATTATTGCCAGAAGAGTTGATAAACTTCTTAACAGTTGGATCTCTAAATTTAGACATAGACTTGAGCTACAGTTACATTTAGTATATTGCAATGTTGAAATCAAGTCTTGTTTTTAGTATTGCTTCCTTGGAATCACATCTTTTACAAGTTCTATTTGGGAAAAAAAATCAGATCACTTAAAAAACGGAAGCTGTGCTTTTTAGTTTCTTCATATTATCAACTTTTCATGCTGAACCTTTCCTCTCTCCCTGGGTTTTTAGGCTTTGATGAAAATATAGAATCTCAGGGAGAGCTCATCCTTCAAGAATCCTTCCAAGTGTGGGACCCCAAAACTCTAATTCGAAAGGGAAGAGAGAGGCACCTTTTCCTTTTTGAGATGTCCTTGGTTTTCAGTAAAGAAGTAAAGGACTCCAGTGGAAGGAGCAAGTACATTTACAAGAGTAAACTCTTCGTAAGTATGGAAGAACAAGTGATCATATTTAGAAAACTGTCTAGAATAAATTGTGACTAAGCTCAGATGATTTAAATGTGCCTGAAAAACCTGAACAACTATTATAGTGCACTGAAAGAACAGCCTTGGAATGTGTAGACTGAATCTTGTACATTTGCTGCTTTGTCATGTTTTTGAGGAGGAAGAGTAGGTTGAAAGTACTGAAGGCTATGTGTGAATCTTGGTGTGTCAGGACAAAGGAAAATCAAGATTGGGCTGGACTGATTTTGTGTTAATTGTATGTGTAATTGCTGGTTCATTTGTATAAAGCAGAAGGATGGAAGGAGTTGAGAAGCTGCCTTCATCTTACTTGTTTACTATTGCTGTTGTAGTAATATCCATGTTAAGGATTCAGTTTGGTGGATATGCTACACGTACTGATCTGGAAAGGCAGGAACTCCTTGTTATGGAAAAGTTCATTGCAGAATGTCTACTGAGACTAGTAGTCTTACAATAATATTTTGTAAATAAAATGATAGCTCTTATGATCTACTGAAAGGATGTAAAGATGGAATTTTTTTTCTCTCCATTAAAAAAAAATATTAAAAAAATCTGATCTTTCCTCATCTTAAGCATGTATGCTTTACAAAATGTGACCCTGGAATTCATATCCTTCCCTTCCTGTCTCACTGGATGACTTGGGTGAGAGCAGTATTCACACTCCATAAATTTGGATAGCCAAGTGAGAAGACTGTCTCCTATGACTTGCTGTGCATCTGCCAGAGGCAAGAATAGCTTTTCTACTAGACAGTTTAGATCAAGCACTTGAAATTACTTTACTTCTCAGAATCACACTCTAAAAGACATTATTCTTCTATTGATCCTATTGGGATGTATGACTGAGTCTAGATGGTATAAATACTGAGCCTTTTCTCCTTGCTTCAGCTCCTTTTCCTTCATTCTTTCCCACTTCCCACCTCTGTGTCCAAACTGGTAAAGCAAGTTGGTTCAAAAAACCTCTTTGTTCTCTATCTTACTTTGTATATTCTGTCACTTCATTTCCAACACTTGCTCTCCTTCCTGATAGAAGATAGCTAGGAGGTAACACAGCTGCGGCCGTTTTGTTGCTCACACCTTCCTTTGGTGCTCTCAGGAACCTGAAAGACAAAAACTTCTGGTGTGCTGGAGGGTAACATCAGCTGCCAAGGCATTACACGGGAGGGGAGACAGAGCTGAAAAATTGGTCTTGTAAGCTTGTCATGTGCCCGTTCCTCTGGCAGGAACCTAATAATAGCCTTGGGTCCTAGAGAAGTTACTGGAAATCTTGAAGACTGATTGTGCCTCATTTTTAAAATGCAAGCATATCTTTTTGTCTTCATATTCTATTAGGCAAAATATCCCGTAGTGCAGCTTACTATTATAACAATTCTTATAGTTTGTTCTTTAGAAAACGCGTTCATACAGATGTTGAAAGCATGCGTGTTGATTTGAGCTAAAGATCTTTTTTTTCACATTATCATATCTGCTGCCTCTGGAAGTGGTTTTACAAAAGTAAGGTCCTCTTTACTTTGGGCACGATCACAGAATCATAGAAGGGTAGGGGTTGGAAGGGACCTCTGGAGATCATCTAGTCCAACCCCCCTGCTAAAGCAGGATCACCTACAGCAGGTTGCACAGGATTGTGTCCAGGCGGGTTTGGAATATCTCCAGAGAAGGAGACTCCACAACCTCTCTGGGCAGCCTGTTCCAGTGCTTGGTCACCCTCAGAGTAAAGAAGTTTCTCCTCATGTTCAGGTGGAGCTTCCTGTGTTCCCGTTTGTGCGCATTGCCCCTTGTCCTGTCACTGGGCACCACTGAAAAGAGTCTGGCCCCATCCTCTTGACACCCGCCCTTTAGATATTTAGAAGCATTGATGAGATCCCCTCTCAGTCTTCTCTTCTCCAGGCTGAACAGACCCAGCTCCTTCTGTCTTTCCTCACAAGAGAGATGCTCCAGTCCCCTCATCATCCTCGTAGCCCTCCACTGGACTCTCTCCAGTAGTTCCCTGTCTGTCTTGAACTGGGGAGCCCAGAACTGGACACAGAACTCCAGATGTGGCCTCACCAGGGCAGAGTAGAGGAGGAGGATAACCTCCTTTGACCACGCTCTTCTTTATGCCTCCCAGGATACCATTGGCCTTCTTAGCCATGAGGGCTCACTGCTGGCTCATGGATGACCATCATGGTTTCCCCAGCGCAGGATACTCAATAGCATGACTTGTATTAGTGGAAGAATGTGTTAATGAACTCTTCTGGCAAGAGATAAAGTGTCCAAAAGCAAATGCCTAAGGGGGGGGCTATGGGAACAAGGCACGCAGGTGTCATTTTGCCAGAATACTCTCCCAGTCACCAGTAACTGCCAGTTCAGGGGTTTCCTCACCTGAATGTTGTTTCTATGTATTCAACCCGCAATGGATTTCTCTTCTGTGAGCCTGTCCTTGGACCTCATGGAGACTTTTAGCATTTACGGTGTCCTTTGGCAAAGAGTTGTGTTGCTCAACTACACATTGGGCACAGGTCAACTTCCCTGTGTTGGGTTTTGAACCTGACTCCTTCCCACTAGTTTCATTTGATGCCTACCAGTATTGAAAGCAGCGAACAACGTATGTCAGCTTTGCCACTCCTTGCTGTACAGACCTCTATTGCATTGTCCCTCAGTTGTCCCTTGTAAAATTAATAACATTCAGAAGTGTACCAAGGCTTCTAAATTTACTAGGCTTTAAAAAATAAACAATGTTTAAAGTTGTACTATCTTGCCCATTCAGGTTTTATATTGGGCAGTGTGGTAGGATGTATTTTCTTTGAATTGCATCATGTAACACTTTCTAACACTCATAGGAGTTGTTGATGAGTCAAGTTTAAAACACATCACAGGCTTTTAAGTATTCCAATGAAAAGTCCATTTTACCAAAAACAGATGACAAAGCTGAAAGGGTGGTTGGGTTGACATGTGGGGTTGGTTGGTTTTTTTTGGGGGGGGGGTGACAGGGGACACAAATAACCAAAACCAAACAACGAAACAAGTTGGCATCCAACTGAGACAACAAAAAAAAATTACCTTTATTCAAGTACTGTGTATCCAGCATCTCTTCTAATGAACTGTGCATGTGCTAGTGATGATGCATATGAGGGAAAAATACAGCTTCTAATAATGTAAGAATGCGTAGCAGCTGTCTCTTGGAGTGAGGGTTCTTGTAGTTTGAGCTATATTTCTTAGTTTGTAATTTTTTTTTTTTTTTGGAGAAAAGCCTATATGAATTGTTTAACTGGAAGCCAATTCACATGATTGAGGTGTTGTTCCAGTTGGAAAGTGAAAACAGTTTGGATGATAATTAGCTATTAAGGTCTGACATTAGAACATTCCCAAAGACTGATTGTTAATGTAGCTGTCCCACAGAATTCTCCAGGGAAACTGCATTTCTGAATTATTTCATCTGTTTCAGAGGGAAGGAAACACACTAGGAAAGGCTTCTTTGGCAGAAAAGAGATCAGAGTTTTAGAAGATATCAAGAGAATTCTTAAGCATATCTTATGTGAGAGAAAACATAAAAATCAATAAGTAGTGAATGTTCCCTGATGGAAATCAACAAGCAGAGAAGCCAACACTTATTTTTTCACTAAGCACCTATTTTTAGAGTTACAAGGCTTTTATTGGCAAGTCAGAAATGTAAAATAAGCAATTTGGTATTTCAGATTATAAATGCTATTGTTTATTGGTACTTTACAGGAAAAATTGTTTAGCTTGCAGTTCTTCCTTTTTTGAAGAAACGCCCCCACTGCCACCAGAATAAAGGATTCTAAGGCTAACTCATATGCTAGAGAAGCTTTTAAAAATCTCTTTAAGTAGCAGAGCTGAATTATTTAGACTATTAGCATCCCTTTGTGGTTTCTGATGAAAAAATGTCGTGTCGTCCTAACAAATCTCTCTTAATTCTAGACTTCTGAACTGGGTGTCACAGAACATGTAGAAGGAGATCCCTGCAAGTTTGCTCTGTGGGTTGGAAGGACACCAACTTCAGACAACAAAATTGTTCTCAAGGTAATTTTAGTAGATGTGCTTGTACAGTCTACACTAAGTCTTGTAGTTGTTCATACTTGTTTGGAAGGCAACAAGCGATGACTTTTCCTGCCTTGAGAGGGACAGCTGCTGACAGATAATTTTCCTTTGTGTGTAAAGGATGTGATAGATATCTAACTCACATGGCTTGACAGCAGAGGGGAATCTGTATGGTCTACTGAAGGATTAAACGAACTTGCTTTCACAAATCAGAGTAGGAAGAGATTTGATCTCATGGACTTCTGTAGCTTGAAGACTTCAGCCACTAGCTGACAGAGCAACTGATAGGCCTCAACAATTCATGGCATCAGTGTTACATTTCACACTCAGTTCATTGCTGCTTGTTGGTGACGCTGTTTTTCATGGCCCATATTTTTATGCAGAAATCAAAACACTTCCAAAAAAATTTTATATCTTTCTGTGGGCTACAAGTTTTTCTGAAGATACTTGCCTTTGGACGAGAGTGGATGCAAGGCCAATAAATTTTGTGTCCAGGGAAGTTACAGGTGTCAGTAGTGTTCTTTGCCTAGCTAGGAGAATGGCTAAATCCATTTTACCTGTGACTCTGGTATTGTCACCTGGGACCTACGATTTGAACTGGAGAACTTTTTTGTAATACCATAAGCAGCTAATTTGATGTATTTTGAGGACTATATCAGCTTTGAACCTTTTCTTTTGTATCTCTTAGCTGTGCTGAGCTGAAAAAAAAATCTAACTTCCCATTTACAGATTAATACACCTATTATTAAACTTGTGTATGTTTTCATATATGTTTTTGGCAATTACTCAATAATGCCACTTCAAAATGGTCACTCAAATTTATATGTTTTCCTAGTGACTTACAGGCTAAGAAGAGCTCACATTAGTTTTGTGACAGCAGTCAATGAGTGCAAGGAAATTCAATGTTACATCACTGAATAATACAATTTGTTCAGTCTTAATACTCCCATAATTTCACAGACAATGCTTTGCAGCCTGAAATGATTCTCCCAGGGTAGAACAGTATAAGGGGTTCTGTTAAAGGGCTCCCTACACAAGATCACTTTAAGGTATTCCTGTTCTCTTCTTTACTTAGAGCATAGAATATTTAGATAAGTTGTACGGTATATGAAGCTTTTCACAGCTTTGTTGATTTTTTGTTTGTTTTTGAAGATTGGAAACTAGGACTTCCTTAGCTTATTAGTATTATAAGTAAATTCCATGAAAACCTAAATAAAAGCTTTAACAAAACTTCATGTTTGGCTTCTTTTCCTAAATGTTTTTGTTTTTACAGGAAAACAAAGATCTTTTCCCTAACTGGTCATCTGTTCCTGCAAGTTTCTCCATCCCTTTAGAATGCCTGGTTATTAAATGTTCATAGTATATTAAATGTTTATAATATGTTCAAAGCCAGTTATTTCAGGAGACAGCAATTAAGAGAAGTAGGAAGTTATACTCAATAATCTTTTATCATCTGCAGTAATTTTTATATTTCATAGCAATTAAGGTGTAGGGTTAAATTGGATTAAACAGTCAGATTACAGGTTGGGCAGCTGTCAAGTCTTTTCCAGGGTATCTCAAAAATATAGATGATATGTTGCCGGCAGTTATTAAAATACAATCCCTAAACTAGCTTTCTGCTTCCAAGTACGTTTCAAAAGTGGGAAGAGTAATACATGAAATGTGTTGTGGAAGTTTGTGTTGCAAAATGAGTTAATTTTTGTTTCAGCATTAGTAGAGTATTATATAAAGTTAAAATTGACCTAAAATGTAGCGTGAGTTTAAAATACCAATGTTCAAGGTGTTTTTACTGGAATTCTTTAAGTCAATCCATCCTGTCTTGCATGAGATGCGTACAGAGCTTTAGCCTTCAAGTTATGAAAGAGGAATCTGAATCTAAAATAAAACGTTTTTTAAATGAACAATGTTAATAATGTTGAGAAGTGTAAAGTCATGTTGGTGATTCAAAATGAAGACTTTCCTCTTCTCTGTTCAAGTTTTCAAAAATTATTCACAGTCATTCTTTATGCCTTCCTCTTTGTGTTTATTAGCTGACTGTATGTGTGGATCTTCTCAGCTATAATAGTCCATTGTGGGGGTTTTGTTTCTTTTGCATATGAAAGGCATCCAGTATAGAGAATAAACAGGACTGGATCAAACACATCCGGGAAGTGATACAAGAAAGGACCATTCATCTGAAAGGAGCATTGAAAGAGCCGATCCACATCCCCAAAACCGCACCAACAACAAAACAGAAAGGAAGAAGGTAAGTGGTATTTAAAATAATCAGAGATCTCTAAGTACACAACAGCCCTCTTTCCTCTGTACTGTTGAATTTCTAATGACTTTCAGTGAATTGGACAAAAGCAAGAGTCATTTTAGCCAGCTTTATCTTATAAATAATTTCCAGTTTCCTGCACTGCTGAATTTGTTGAGATTTCTGCCCTGAACAGTCCCTGATTTGTGTACATTCAGCCATTACAGAAGGGATTTGGAACTGCAGTACAGGATAGCTGTACATTTTAGATTTTTGCAATTCTGAGTGTGTTATTCAGGTCCTTGGTTTCCTTTTATGGAGCTTAAAATATGTGACCGAGTGTTCTGCTCGCTACCTTTGGCTAAGTGGCTGTGCAAGTTTCTTGCCATAGTTCTCGCTGGTTGGTTGTTGCCTTAATTCTATATGATGTAGACCTTCAGCAAACGAATCTGTTCTTTTAAAGCATAGAACGAAGTATTAAGTGCTAAATATTTGATTTTTGCATCAGTTAGTTTGTCTGGCTGGTGTCCATTGCGATGCTGTCTAGGTGCCCCTTCTTTACAGTTGCAAGTAGGGAACTAACATGTTACAAACACAGTGCTAATATTGTAATGAAAACTGAATTATTTGCAGAGACGGCGAGGACCTGGACAGTCAGGGAGATGGTAGCAGCCAACCTGATACTATTTCAATTGCCTCGCGAACCTCGCAGAACACACTAGACAGCGATAAGGTAAGTTTCCCAGGTGTTGCTCTGTTCTGAGAGCAAATGATTCATCCCTTAGTGTGAGTTAGCACCCAAGATTAGTCCTTAATACCTTCAGAGAGGAGGCATGGAAATATTCAATCTGTTAAAAATAGCTGTATGCAATAGATAGAACGTCTTGATACCATGAGGGAGCAGGGGTGATTGCTGAAATCTAATAGGTCATGAAGGAATTATGTTTGTTCCAAACTGAAACCATTTTGGTCCCCTTTTTTCTGCAGATCGTTCAAAGCTTTGACCCAGTTTAAAAATAAAGTTTTATTTGATAAAATTTGATACTCATGCACAGAATTTTTCTTCATGTCTGTCTCAGCCTTTCTGAAAGCATACCATCTGCTTTTTGTATTAGCTTGAGGTGGGTGGTTGCCACACAGTTTTGTGAAGGAAACACACTATCCAATGTTCATGGGTTAGAGAGTAAGAGTGTTCACTTTCTGCATGAGAGCTGATGGAAATTGCCATATTAAGGAGTAGTAATCCACAACATTATCATACGATACTAGTGTTAGTATTTCCTTTCCTCTGCCTATAGATTCCGACTGGTTTATCCCATAAGGATACACAGCCAGAGTTTCTCATGGGTGGAAGAAAGATAGGCATTAAAAGAGTAAAAATTTTTACATGAAACCTGTCTGTTACTTCAGAATTGAAAGAAGATTTCTAGCAAGTGAGAAGTGTTAGAACCTTGAAGGGAGGTAGAGATGGATAATAGAAGTTTGTCAAAGAGAAGAATGAGCTAAAACATAGCTGTGTGGCAAATAACTTGAAAACGTGGTTAGGGATTTCTGGCCTCATTGGGTAATATTGTTCTGATGAGCCACTCAAAATACACAGGCAAATAATCAGTATATTACAGGGCAGCTGGGTGAGTAGGTTCTCAGAGTAATATTTTGACCATTCTCATCATCATCTAAAAGTTAGTTTTCTGGTTTTCTGCATGTCACTTAAACTCTATGGTTTTAATTTTTCCATGTAAAGAAGAGGAAGACAGAAGAAGGGACGTTTAACTTGCTTAGGGTTGTTCTTGTATTTGTCAAAAATAGCCTATGTTTTAACCTTGTACATTTGTACTGATGTTGGGCTGTAGTTTTGGTGGTGGTTCCTTCTAAAGACATTTGTAGTGAAAATGGTTGGTTAGAGCAGAAAAAAGTCTTTCTATAACTCTTGTTTTCCTGTTCTTTGCATTCTTAGCTATTTAGTGATTTGCAAAAACTGTGTTGTGTATACTAACAAACAGTTTACTTCATTTTTGTATGTGTTTTTAAGAGTTTGGGTAAAGTATCACACTCAAAAGCAAGACGTGCTCTCTCTGATTTCCTTGATTGTTCGCTGAGACTTCAAGCTGTGTGCACACAGCCCAGCTGGATTGTGCTTCAGTTCAAATGGAGGTGATGCAATCCATCCCTGCCATGCACAACGATTTGCTCTCTTCAGTTCTTTGTGATGTACTATTTACTGGGGAATAGCATGGATTGTCTCCTGTTGCCCCTCCTGTAATATTTCATGCATTGTGTGAGAATTGCTAAGAAAGTTGGCCAAGTGAAATGCCTTCAGGATTGTCTTCCAGTCTGACGTGAGGAGAAGTCTTACCAACAACCTGTTCAACAGGAGTTATAAGTCAAAATGAGGAGGAATGGAAAACACTTTTAAATATTTTCCTGACAAGTTTTCAAGTTGGTTAGTGAGTGTAGTGTTGTTTCAAAGTAGTTTACAGTTCTCACGTTAGTGTAGAAAACTTATGTTACACTTTTCTTTGACAAGAAAATCATACTGAAAACTGGGAGACTTCCTGGAAGCTACTTGTGCTATGTATGGTATGTCCAAGGAAGAAATTTACTGTTTGTGCACTTTTTAAAAGTGTGTGAAATAGCAGAACAGCTTTTTTTAATGTTTGTATTACATGTTTTGATTTGTTAAATACATAAAGAAGAGAACATTTTTAATCTGTTTAAAAATACAAAATAAAAATTAAGGAGCAGTGACAGGCAGAAGACCAATGAAATCTGTAGGACATCTTAACGCTCTTGCTGAATCTGAAGTAATCTCTCACTTTGTATGTTGAAAATTCATTAGCTGTGGTCCATTTGGGCTTTAAAATTGACTCTCTATTTTCTCAGCCTAGAAGCTTGAAGTATGTAGGTATGAATGTCTTACAGAGATGGAGTTGAAACAGTTTTAGGGATTTCAGGTGCTGTCGATGTGGTTATTCCCGATGGAGCAGTGGAAGTCCTTGGTTAAATTTGAAGCCTGACCCAAACTGAGCTGGGATTCCAAACTGAGAAATATTAAAAATACCAAGTAATTTAAAATAGTGTTAATCAAGTGGTAAAAATGTTTAGCACTGTATCACTTTTTATTCTGTCGCTGAACATTTTTCTGTTCATGTATATCCACTATTGTGACTAAGAAAAGACAACAAATAGCAAATATGTCATGCTAATCAACAGCCAAGTAAAACGGTTGTTTTATTTTCTCTGATTATATGTTCAGGCAGTTGATTCTTTTAAAATATATGTTTTGGTTAGAAGTGCTAAGCTAAGTGGTAATACAGGGAGAATATCAAGAATAAAATCCTTTATCCACAACTCAATACTCTTTCTTACCTCCTCAGAGATATGTTTTGAAAGAGCTCAAAATCCTTAGCGATTATATTAAGTGGTTGAGTATTGTCCAGATGAGCTTCTTTCCTTGCATCCTGTTTTCTAATGTAATTGAAAATGCCTTAACAACAGAGAATAACTTCATGATTAGCTTTTTTTTCTCCACCCTGGCTTTTTGGGCTAGAATTGTAACTTTTGATTGTTGGCTCCTCTGTTGCATGTTGCTTTTCAGTAATGACTGGGATGATGCAATAGACCGTATGTTTATAAAGCTGACATCCTTCCCAGCTTAAAGTCATCTGAAAACTATATTGGAAAGCAGAATTAGAATTCAGAATTGTCTTGGCAAATGGGAGAAATTAATTGGCAAAATACCATAAAATTTAATAGGAACACATTTAGCTAATGTGAATAGGTGGAAATAGTTGACTACTAATGAAAACAGTGAAAGTATTGAACGGTTTTTGAGAAGATGATCTAGAAGCTTATAGAGGCTCACAAGCTGTTTATTATTTTAACAGTGTGATGCAGTTATGAAGGGGGAGGGAGGGAAGCAGACTTATATTGGCTTGTAGAAATAGGATGCTGAGCTGTAGGACACAAAGTCCTCATTCTTTACTCAGCACTCCTAAGGCCTCTGTTAGATACTGCATCCAGTTTTGTGTACAGAATTTTAGAAAATTAGTAAGTTAGTGGGCAATTGGAAGAGGTCCAGGGGAAAGAATAATAATAATAATAATAATAATAAAAGACTGATTAGATGTCTGTCAAACATAACTTACAAGGCAAGATAAAGAGTTGGGACTAATGAGCCTAAAGAAAAAAGGCAGGAAGAAAAGCTACTACAGAGAGTTACAGACCAGTCTTTTACCCATATTTTCAGTGGATGGGATGAGATTAAAGGACTTCTCTCTAATAAAAGATTGCAATAATATTTTTTTATGGGTATGAAAATGTGAAGCCGTAGAGCAGAGTAGATGTGAAGGCTGAGGAATCTCCATAACTGGAGATCTTTGAGAACAGTTGGATAAATGTTAATCATGATTCATATAGATGTAGTTGATTATGCTTTAGAGGAAGAGCATGAAGAAGGAAGAGAAAGAAGCGGACTAGGTAACTTAAGATCCCTTTCCAGCCTGTTTTTAGTATCATTATGTCTTCATATTGCAAAACATGCTAAATAGATCCATAGCAGTGACCCATCCTGAAGTATTGGAAGGTATAATGGAGTCCAGAGTGAAATATAAAATTTTTTGTGAGGGAGATTTCTACTCTGTCAGTAAGTATTTTGCCCTTGACTTTTCACAGCATTCCTTCCATTCACCTTCTGTAGCTGTGTAGCCAGCATTTTAGGTGGCTAATGAATAAAAGAGATGATAATTGGCCCATTCATTCCACCTTTCAACAGTTCCTAGCCTCAGAGCTTGATCTGATTTTAATGTCATCTTTTGAATTTGATCCAATGCATAGGAAATAAAATGGGGAGGCTGAAGGAAACAATGTAGGTCTGACAGGTCTTTTCATGCTTGCATTAAGTTAGCTGGTAGAAACGTGAAATAATCGAAACTACTATTTTGGTAGCTGAGAAGATGAGAGGCTTTTAGAAGAAGAACTGTCATAGGGTGTTATCCTAAATAGTAGGAATCATGCTAACTGCTCTGGGTGGTCAGTGGAGCAATATTTTATTTTTAACAAATTGTCTTTTCTGCCCAGCTGGTAACAGTTTGTACTGCTGTCGATGTGAAGCTGTATTTCATTCTCATGCTTCTTTAAGCTCGTGTGTAGTACTTTGGAACATAGAAAAAGGACTGAAGCAGCAGGAGACAACCAAGTATTTAGTTCTGCCAGCTGAAACCGCAGAAGAGAAAAGGCTCCCATCAGTAGAAAAAATGCTAGTAAAAAAAACAGACATGGGTCTGAGTATATGCCTCTTTTCAGAGTCAGAAACCAAGTCTGGGCAGCTACCTGATCAAAGCAAAATACTCTTTATGTGAGACAGAACTTCTGTGTGTCTCCCATTTTCTTTCCTCCCATAGTGCACTTGTTTCCATTTTAAAAGGCGATTAAAGATTTTCATGCTTAAAATAATTGAGAAATTTTATTAGCTGCTCTTTCCTTTCCCTTCTCCTCAATGTAAAATTACAGTACAGTAAATTCAATTTGCAATTCTGAGACTAGGTCATATGGCCTGATGTAAAGGCCATTGTGTATGGCAAAACTCTTGTCACTGGTGATTTTCCCAGCTACTGGTGCAGATGAACTCTTGGTGTGGCATCTCTGACTTCAGCAAACCTGCGCTGAGAATGTATTCAGCCAGTGAGTGTGTATTATGGTTTTATTTTCTTTCTCTCTGCAAGCGACAGTGATTAAAAGGCCCCAGAGAGATGAACGTAGATGGTTAACATTAATTTCAGCAACAGCAAGACACTATGTCCCATGATAAGCTGTTTAATTAAACCTTGCGCCTTTTTAATCTGCAGTTCTATTTCTGTCTGGCTTTTGTTTCTCATCTCGTCTCTGTCTCTCCAGTTTCCATGTTTCAGACATAGCCTCATTTATTTTTATCATGCATGATTAATTCAGTTTACATAAAGGGTTTCTTGAGAAGGATGGATAAAGTATATAAAGCCCTTGTTCAGCCTAAATTTGGATTTAGATGGTTTGTAAGTCTTTTCTTTTCAGTGCAAGTCAGTCTCCTGGTTCTGCTGTGCCTCTTGCTCTTCCCTCCAGCTAGCCTAGAGAGCTTTGCCAAAGCTGTCCAACAACAGCTGTTGAGCAATGCGCTTAATCACAGACACTCCTTGCTGTCCAACTGCATTTAATCAGTGCAAAAGATGAAACTGCTTTCAGAAAGTGTGTTATGGAGAGAAAACGAGCAATGAAACAAAGAGGAAAGCAGCATTTCCTAACCATAACTGTTGTGGGGAGAAAGAAGGGTTGTTATTCCAAAGGAGGGGAAACTTGGTAAATGCTTTTTTTGGTCAGTTCTCCCTGACAGCGTAGAAGTGTGCTGGGTAGAGAACATCCCTGGTTTTGATGTGTTAGGCAGCAGTGGAGAAGTCCTGCACTAACTTGCATCTTAACAGCATTAGTGCGTGTTTGAGGATGGTGTAGAACTAACCATTGCATGCGGAAAGTGTCTTACACACTGTACTGAATATTGAATTTCAGTGGGAATACTGATCAGTTAGGATATCAGATTCCCACACAGTCTAAAAGACTAGGATTTTTTTGTACTTTAATAGTTTCTGACATAGCCACTGACAGCCTTTGCTTTTTCCTTTAGCTTAATACTATATAAAATACTTAGTGAACATAAAATCTGAGCTTGTTCTTTTTTTCTTTTTTCTTTTAATTAGGGAAAAGAGAAGAAATAACATCTATAGTAAAGCCAAAAACATGTAGCCATTGCACCGGTCACAAAGTCTATTTTAAGCTCTATTTGTAGGAAGTGAAGGGTCAGGAAAGCAAGCAGAGCACCAAAGCTATGCTCCTGTAGGTATTTAGGAGAAAATACAAAGACAAGATGCAGTTTCTGGAAAGTGTCAACTTGTTTCTGTCTGGTTGCTTGCACTGACTGGGGACGGATATGGACTCTCCTGAGATAAATTTGGTCTGCATTGGACACCTTGTGAAGTCATACTTCATCAGCTTTTTTGTTAGTCCCCATCAGGCATACAGATGGTTTCAATTGTTTCTGAGTTTGTCTGAAGAAGGCTGTAACATAAATCAATACCAGAAAACAAGGGAAAACTCTTTACTTTTTTCCCCTTTGGCATAGTTTTGCATGGACTGAAAACTAATATAATATGGAGAAAGAGAAAAAAGAAACTTTTTAAAGAGGGAGGAGGTAGCATGTTTTGAAGATGTATGCCCCCCTGTAATTTGGGTATTGGGACTGTCTGGGGAGATGTAGTAGAAGCAATGTGATTAGTTTTTAGCTTCAATCTAAATGGGTGCAACCTGATTTATCTTCCTTAAACATTAGATATATGAGGCTTTTCTGCCCTTCTTGGCCCCTGCATCCCCCCAGGAAAACTCTTTTCTTCTTTGTGTGCACACACAAGCAAGGGTAGCTGAGGAGATTAGCAAGCAGAGACCATGGGAAAGCTCTGGAGTTACTGCAGACCATCTGCTAGGAGTTATGTCCTGTCATTTGTTGCAGGCTTGAGGAAGAGAAGGTTGGAAATAGCCTTTGAGTCTTACCAGGGTTTTGCTGGCTTTGTCACTTGCTCTGAAATTCTTGTTTGTTAAGAAACAGTGTTATCCTAGAAAAGTTCCTATCTGGTGTTTCAGTTCCAGGCTTGTAATGAAAACTAATAAATAAGTAACAATGCAGTCTCTTATCTCCTTTTCCTAAAGCTCATGGGATGTAACCAACAGCTGTGTAAGAGCCTATACGTAGTAGTAAAAAATAACGTGGCAGGAACTGTGCAGTATGTTGGTGTAGCTCATGCTTCTATGTTTGCTGCAGCTGGAATTCTCACAGGGTATTTGTCCTCCTTTGTCAGCGTAGAGCACTGCAGGATTACCTCGCTGAGTTTACGGGAGTTTACTGGCTTGGTCCAAAATTCCTGAATTCACAGAAGTTGCCTGCCAGCTGAGATCTGATATGAATGCTGCACTGAAGCAGCCTGAGCTATAGAAATGTTCACACACAAAAAGCTGAAGTAGCCTGGAATGCCATTGCCATATGGAAGGAAAAGGAATTCCCAGGCTGTTTGCTGGAGTTGGATGGGTGCTTTGGTACTGAGCGATCTTGGGAACTTTGCAAAGTTCTGATAATAATTTTAATTTCACATCAAAGCAGATGAAACAATCAAAGAGAGGAAACTTAAGCTTAGGCAAAGTAATTCTTATGAAGTGTTTCGAAGAGGGGGAGGAAAACAGAGCTCTCATGCTTTTAATTCAAGTTTGTGTGTTCTTCTTTGGGGAATCAGCAAAAATGAGAAAGTTGTAAGCCCATGTGCATTTTGTATGGAATAGTTAAGTATCTGGGAAACTTAAGAACTTTATGCTGATTTTTATAATTATGTATGGTGTATCCTGGATGATTTTATGACCTGCATATGTAGAGAGTAAATTATGAGTGGGGTGAGAATAAGGCAGTAGGCTCATTCAAAAAAGATCCCTCCTCCTGCCTTGAATTTGCAAGTTAACAAAGCTCATGAGCGACTGTATTCAGTAATATCTGACTTTTTGTTGCCAATTATCACCCATAAAATATATTCTGAAGTGACTGCTACTTCAGCTTTTGGGGTAAGGAGCAGTCTAGCAAGAAAAACCGCTTAAATCCTCCGCCCAGCACTGTCAAAACTGGTGTGCTCTGAACATAGGCAGAGACAAGCAGAGCTAAAAATCTGTTCTAAAACACCAGAACTGCCTGATTTTTGAAATGATCTCTTCTTAATGTGGAAAGTCCCAGAAGCTTGCTATCTCATCCAAAATATGAATCCTGCCAGGAATCCTAAATAGGTAACGGTGCGTGGCGGATGGTTTGATAACGAGCATTCATCTGGCTTCTCCTTCTTGTTTTTCCCCTCACAGTTGTCTGGTGGGTGCGAGCTGACGGTGGTAATCCACGACTTCACTGCCTGCAACAGTAATGAGCTGACAATCCGCCGTGGGCAGACGGTGGAGGTCCTGGAGAGGCCCCATGACAAGCCCGACTGGTGTCTGGTTCGAACCACAGATCGGTCCCCAGCTGCAGAAGGCCTGGTCCCCTGCGGGTCCCTCTGCATCGCTCACTCTCGCAGTAGTATGGAGATGGAGGGGATTTTTAACCACAAAGGTAAGAAACGATGGAAACAAAGTCTTGTCAGCAGCAGTGCGAGTTTTGGGTAATGGGCAGTACTGTGCAAACAGGCACTTTGGTGTTCTTGCACTGTTCCGGTTGCTAGTTTTTAATTACATAAAACACAATGCTTTTAGCAACCTGCAGCCACGCTGTCTATTCCAAAATAAGCAGTCGGCAATTCTCAATGTTAAGTGAAAATGTGGCTGAAGACAGAGAAGAGACGTAAGCAAATTATGTCTTGGTGAACAGAGTTATATATCATGTTAGATCAAGCTGCGATGATAGGGAAACCCTGTCGTGTGCTGAAAGGGAGAGGGAGGGAAGAAAATCTCCAGCATGCATTATCAATGCTTCCTGAGAAACCCTGAAGTAAGAAATCACTACAACATCAGGCTTAGTGATGGAAAAGGTAAATACACGCATTTATATGCCCTGGCACAGGAACTGGCTATTTGGACTTCTATATTTTACTTAACTGAGTTTTCCAGAGTAGCAGTGGCACGCTCATCCCTTTTTTCCCAGAGCAGCTCTGAAATCTTACTATGTTTTTTCAGACACATGAAAGAACATGCCCCTGAAGGGTGCAAGAAAAATCTGATAATTTTTTGAAAGCTTTTAAGGTTTTGGTGTGCTGTAGTCCTTTGGCTCCATAAACTTCCCGGGCTCACAGAGTAGTTTGTTATTAGAGAAAATGCTTGCTTCATTTGAAACTACTTTAGTTTTCAGCTTGTGAACAAGAAAGCAATGTGAATTAAAAAAAAACCAAAACCACCAGAAAAACAGTTCATTAGAAGGTGTTTCATCACATGCTGGGGGAAAAGATGCGTTTCAAAAAGTTTGTTATTGCAAGTTAACAAGATTAGCAGGAAAGTGGCGTTGGGGAAAACTTGTTTTCCAAACCACAAAATTCTGGGCTTGGAGAGTTTTTCGTAAATATAACCACAAATTTTTCAATTATTCAGTCCATCTCAGCTATCACATTACAATTTTTCCCCTTTTTTTTTTTTTTTTTTTTTTCCAGACACTGTATAAAGAGGGGAGTTTATGTTTCTTAGATTAGGAGCATGCACAGCAGTAATTTCCTGAATGCAGGGTGAAGGGGGGATCGGGGGGAAGTCTTGAGGGATTGCGCTGTATAGCTGGAATACTTTTTCATCCTCTTGTGTCCTGTAACAATTTGGATAGAGAAAGTCTGTAGCTCTTCTGATGATAAAATTGGAAAATGTAGTTAGGTACCACTGAAACATTTCTTCCTTTGACTAGAGGGCGAAATCACGGAAATGTCAGCAGGATTTTATTTTTTTTTTTTAACGACACTCACAGAATTTATAAATCCAATTTTCTTTGGAGCTAGTGGACTTCACCTTTTCAATGCAGAGAATTTTATTAGGAGAGGCAGATTGTACTGGACAATATGTGTTACATGAAGAGCATTGAAACTGTCAGACTGCTGAGGGAGAGGCAGAGCTGGTTTTGGTCTTTGAGAGGTTACTTTTATTAATGAAACCAGTGGACATAACCTGTATTGATTTATTTTTTTTCCCCTTTTTTTTTTCCTTCTCTTCCTTTAGTGTTTGTTTAGAGAAAATGGGGCAGAGCACTGTAAGGTTACTTTAGTTTCTGGTCAACATCTTGCTTTGAAATAAAAAGCATTAACTATATTAATCATGGAGACTGAAGAAGAGAAGGCCATTGCTAGAATAAGCATGATTTGCAGGGCTGAATGCAGCCTCAGAAGTGACTTCTGTCCCTGCCTCTGCCACAGGCTTCCTGTGGGATGTTGTGGCATGCCATCTAAACCCCAGCTGATAAGACGCAGCTGCTAATTGTTTATTCCCACATTACTAGGTGTCAGGCTTTAGGAGCTGGATGTTTGATTTGTAAAGTTTCCCATACATGTGACTGTGACTGAAGTCAGTGTGAACTGTCTTGGACATGCAAACTATTATTATAATGTTAGGTAATCCGGGGAGCAAAAACAAAAGCAAAACACCAAACAACTTTAGACTGGGTACTTGAAACCACTGGATACATTTGACAGTGGTCTCTGCCTCGACTTTCTATTGCTTGAAAGAGGTTGATGGTTTCCATTTCACAGAGGGATTACTGAAATTAAGCAAAATTAGTGGAGAGCTTTGATTTTATTTTTTCTCCCATAGTGAAAAGTACCTCAGACAATCCCACAAATCAATTATTCATTCTCAAGTGCTGCATTTGACTAAAGAGCTTTAAATAAGGCATTGGGGAATATGCTAATCAGAAGAATGGAAAAACAATTAGATGATCTTCTCAGAATTGTTCATTGTGGGCATTGATTGAGGTGTGAATTCCTAAAAAACAAAACAAAAAACACAACCCATAATAAAGAACAAGTGCATGACTTAGATAATTTAAGGCAGTCCATGTACTTGGGTTGACAACTTTTAAATGTTGCATTTCTTGGATTTCTAGTGTTTGATTCTGCAACTTTT